GGGGAGGGGGGCGCAGGCGGGCCCGGGGGCGGGGGGGGTCAGGGGCCGGGGGAAACAGCGAGGGGGGGGGGGGGGGGCGCAGGGGACGGGCCAGCATGGTGGATACCGAGAATGTTGGTCGAGGAGGGAATCAAATACATGCCCGGGGGCGGGGATCGCGACAGATTTTTGCTGAGGCGGGAGCCATGCGCAAATGGCGCGGCACACGGTCAGTCGCGGTACGGAGGCGAGGGAAGTGGCGAAGCACAGGCGAGGGGGGCGGGCAGGGGGGAAAAAAAGAAAAAAAGAAGGGGATGGCGAGCGGCCGGGCCGCGGGCCGGGCCAGCGCACGCACAATTCAATCAGCAGCTGATACCGACGGAAGTACTCGCGATAGAAGGGCGTCATCATGGGCCGCAGGACGGCCGGGTCCTGGTAGTTGATGCTGTCCAGCCGGGCCGGTGTCAGGGTCAGGTCTGGCGAGGAGCTCGGCGGCGACACGGTGGACGCCGGGGCCGGGTGGCCGGCCGGCGCCTCGCCCAGGGTGCTGAGGGCCGGCTTGGCGATGGTGGAACTCCGAATGCGGCTCAGCAGGTTGGACAATGCCGGCCGGCGAAGGGGGTCATCCTGCGTGGCTGGGCCGCCGGTGCCGGGGGGCGGCCCAGCCGCAAGCGGGGGCGATGATGAGCCGGCAGGGGCCGGCGCGGGGGCCCGGGTCGGCGCGGGGGCCGAAGCTGCCACAGGGACGGGCACTGACACCGGGGCGGGGCCGGCTGCCGGGGCCGCCGGCGGGGGCTGAGCCGGGCCATATGCTCCAAGTGGATCAAGGAAGGGGACGTCGGCCGTGGCCGGGGCGCCGGGAGCGGGGGCGGCTGGCGTTGGGGCCGGATTCGGGCCAGTGCCGGTCCCGAGCAGGAGATCCGCCAGGTCCGAGTCCAGGGGGGGATGCGCATCCACCGGCGGGGACAGCTGGAAGGAGGCCAGCGCCGCGTCCAGGGGGGAAGTATCCCCGGCGGCGCTGGCAGCCGAGGCAAGCAGCTCTGCCTCGGAAATCAGCTCGTCGCCGCCGCTTCCCGCTAGAGGATGATCCATGCTGCGGAGGGCTGGGGAAGAGCGAAGGAGCTACAGCGGG